ATAAGATGAAAAGCACTCAAAAGATTGAGGGCGAGAATGCAATAGCTTATGAAGATACTGCAGCTACAAATGGAAAAGTCTATATAACTAGCCATTTATCAATTAAAAATGAGCGAAATCTTGATTCGGTGTGTACATTTTTCATGTCTTCTTATAAAGAATGATTTCTGATGTTTTGGAAATAAATGGTGCTCAGGTAAATATAAAAAATTATTTCTTGCAAAATAAAAGGAATTGGTAAAATGTTTTTAAATCTAGGAGATGGTCATACTCTGATTCTTGAAAAATCATATACATTCCAGATATGAGGAAAAATCCAATTTCCCTTGGAATTCTGGATGATGAAGGTTTCAAAATAATCCCCAAAAATGGTTATTACAATTTGTAATAATTTTGCTAAAATTATTGAGGGCCCGCCATGACTTTTGCTTGTGTTCCCGTAGAAGAGCCTGTGAAAGAAACTACCTTAATTTGTTCGTAAACGAATTTTTTAAAAATGTTTTCTATTCCATAAGTGTTTTTAGAAGAAGCCGTATTGGATTAGTTTCCCCTAAAAAAATTTCTAAGTAGAAACACTTTCATAAAATTACTCAAACGGGTCCAAGAGCTACTTTTGGATATCTTTGATTTTTCGAAAATCATGCCAAACGGGTCCTACTACCCCAAAAACCAATGCAGTTTATGTGTTTTAGGCTACACCATTGATGGGTGATCCACTTGTTGTTGCAGTATTCATAACTTCAAGATTTGGCTCATATATATACTCCACCTGGTGTAGACTCTTCATAGACTTAACATTACAAAAATAAAACATTGTTGTATACATTAGAAACCTGGAAAATTTGTTTAAATTTAGATTTGCATCAAATCTTGTAAAATCAATTTTAGTTTCTTGGTATAATAAATTCTCCTATTTTTCCAAGTAAATCTTGATTTCTTTGTGATTCATTATTTTCATATTATTCTCATCTTTATTATTTAGCCCGGTTCACAACAGAACAATCGTCATGTTGGCTATTTAAAATTGAGAGTAAGAGTGCTTGTATTTGTTGCTTATGCACATGAGAATGAAGGAAAGATAGAACGAAGAGCCATTATTCTTGGTGTATGG